CCCCTTCCCCAGGCCTTCTACTGTGGGAAGCCTCTCCAACGTCATCGCCATAGACTGCCCCGAGCTGTTGTTTTGTGAGCAGGACTTGATCGACCCGTGCGAGCGGTTGGACTAGGTTAGAAGACCAAGGCTAGTATGCGTTAGAAAGATACTCTCATCTCACTGTATGTGGTACTCGGGTTAAAGCTGGTAAGTTCGTCGGCATCACCCTAGTAGTGCGTAAGGGTCTGTATCCTCCTATAGAGGGCGTGCGGCGAGCCCCAGGGGGCTGACAGGAGCGACCATCATATCGTCTTAGCTATGTGACCATACTGAGTTTCGCGAGGCTTCCTTCAGATTCGTCGATAAGGAGTTATCACTAGACTTCATCGCTGCGGGTGATAATCACTGGTGTGAATTATGTCGGGCGCGCGCGGGATATGTTGGCTATCGATCAGCTGATCGATTAGGTCCCTCATCAGGCCATTCGCCTTACCCCTCGACCAGTGTCGCCATGGGATCCGGTAAACCCAGAGGAATCAACTGCGCGCGTAAGCTCCGCAACACCAGGAGGAAGAACTTGTAATAGGGGGTTCTCTTGGGTCCGTATATCGTGTACGTTGTTGTTATTCTTCAGGTGGGCCGATAAGGACTACAAGAAGGCCAACCTCGGAACCGTCTTCAAGTCCAACCCCTTCGGAGGCTCTTCTCATGCTAAGGGAATTGTCGTCGAGAAGATGGGCATTGAGGCCAAGCAGCCTAACTCTGCCATTCGTAAGTGCTGCCGTGTGCAGCTCATCAAGAACGGCAAGAAGATCGCCGCTTTCGTCCCCAATGATGGTAATACCATTCCTCTCTGAGTTCCCAAACAGACTTACACTCCTTCAGGTTGCCTTAACTTCATCGATGAGAATGACGAAGTGCTCGTGTCCGGATTCGGTCGTCGTGGCCACGCCGTCGGTGATATCCCCGGTGTCCGTTTTAAGGTCGTCAAGGTTGCCGGTTGCTCTCTTCTTGCCTTGTACAAGGAGAAGAAGGAGAAGCCTCGTTCTTAAGCAGCTTAATGGCTCGATGAGGATGAAGTACAGCCTTCTTCCGGTCTCACTGATTACCCCTCTGCGATACTCCGGTTGATTGCTATTAGTGTTGCGTTATAGTGACATTACTCTGGTGGGAGTTACGCTTGGCTCGTTCATTCCCACTTAGGCCAGCTACAAAGCAGAAACACGTGTTTAACTAATAGCCAGAAATCAGAGGATAATCTCATGCGTCTTTTTCCCTTGTGCACTGATGAAACCGGGAATGTGAGAGATAAACTTTCTCCCAATATTTGTTCCATCATACCAGGTGGCGAACCGTCGACCGTCGGTCTTCCGCGACAATCAGGCAAGGTCAGACAGCTCTATCGGGTGCTCTCGGAGGCCCTTTGATTGGATAGCTTAGACTCCTCCTACGCATTATTCGTTCAATGACACGCTACGTCGTTAATGGTCAATGGTTAAGAATGGAGATATGAGAGTATACTTCGTTTCTGTCATGGAAGGCAACTATCGGAAGTTTCATAGGAGGCCCCGATCACTCCGTCTCACCACCATGTCCAACCGCCGCATTAGCCGACCGTGTCCTACACTGACATGACTAGACTAACCACCCCGAGGTCGATTCAATCGTGTTGAGCCTGTGATGAAGGCTCGGTGACAAGGATAATAGACCAATGTAAATTAATACTGCTGATTCACCAGAAGTGCTCGAGAAGTCCCTCAATACGAGGGCGAGCACCTCTGCCTACTCATAGCCCCCCATGTCCCTTAACCTCCGCACCACCATGCGCGTGGTAGTGGCCAGGGGATTCTGGTCGCTAACAATGTGAAATTCTTCGCAGTGCGCTAATAGCCCCCGACCATATCAGCACACCTCTCTACCCTAGGCGTGTGTGGGACACTTTGCCAGCAACAATCAATGCCTTCACACAGAGCGGTACTTGAAGGTCAGGCCCGAGTAGGCATGCGCCCATACCACTCCTCTCCGAACCTCACTCGGATTCCTCATCTACCCACCGCCAAGCTCGCTGCTCATCATCAGTAGCTCATTCCAAAGACAGTAGCAGAGTATCAGCACTCACACACAACAGATGGTCTTCATAAGTGAACAACACACATGCTGCCTCTACCGGCCCAACCTCATAATATGATATGATTTAGTTAGTTCCATATTGTCATAGTATTTCGTCATAGCCGAAACTGTTGATCGGATACTTGGCTCGACGTAGAGGGAAGCGAGTGGGCCCATCAGCTCGCTCGGCTGTGAGTGCCAGCCACCTAAACTCCAATCACTTCCATCACCCCTACCCAGTATAGGTCTACTTCCATGCTAGTACAAGGGCCTGGGACTTTGTATCTCCACTGAGGCTCTATGTGCAGTCTGACATGCTTCCTCTTGTCATCAGCTAGATAGCTCCTCAAGGGGTATTCTGCTGCTGGATATGGACTACCCTCTATACCAACCGCAACACACGTCTGACAGACTACTCGCTGACCACCCAGTCTAGGGGGAAAGTACTACCAGCGACTTTGATGATGGCAAGCAAATATTTTTGTTCCGAATCTTACGCAGCTCCTTATGGTCCACCGAGATACGCTCTTCCTCCAGCACTAAGAAAGTGGAGAGGAACGGATGCGCAGAATGCGCAGAGTAATCCCCCTCATTACAATGGGCACCGAGATGGACTGAAGGCCCCTTCATCATGACTGGTAAAATGAACAACTCCAGGATCACCCTAGAAATTGACAACACATACGAAGATGAGGAGGAAACAGAAACATCATGCAGCCTCCAACGTAGCCATACGTTGGGCTTCCGATCTCTTCTCCTCCCGAGCCTTATTACGGGCCATGTTACGTTCTCTTTTGATGCGCCATTTGGCGATCAACTTGGGGTCGTAGACCTAGCAAGCGTGTGGGAGTTAAGACGCTCAGCCCGGACGGCTCACCCGCTGGTAGAAGTGATTGTGGCTCATCGTCTGCAGTGACCAAGGCAGCTTCTCGTGGTGGTCCCACTTACGCATCAGGAATCGGGTATGTCTAAAATCCCATGATTTGCGCCAAGTTTGGTATCAGATTTGCACGCATACACAAGATATTACTCAGGCAAAGGTATATGCTCTCGACCTTGCCTCCAGTACACACTGCA